GAGGGAGTATGATTCATTCCACATACACTGCCATTTGTTAAACACATACTGCACTCATTTTTGTGCAACTTTGCATAAATCTATTCTCTCATCAGTATTCCTCTGGCCCTGAGAGTACATTCTTCATGTACTCCAGCTTCTCATATGCTTTGATCAGTATACAGCTTGAATACGGTGGGTGAGTGTTGGTGCACACCTTCCCTGATTTTTAAACCATGTGGTATTTCCTTGTTCTATTAGAACAACTCTTCTTGGTCTATGTGCAGGTTGCACATGAGCATAATGAAGTGTTCTGGAACTTGATACGCAGGTTACACAACAGTCCTTGCTGAAAGCATTTGAAGCTCTGACTGAAGAAAATGAAAAAAACAAAGTTTTCAATAGAAAATTGGCTTGCATATTGTTGAGCTGCTGTAAACTATGCCACTGGTGTTTCAAACATCAGGAGGGTCACCATGACACTTGCATTTCAGCACAACTTCCAGACAAGGTGCTTGTTTCGGCAGCACATATACTAAAACTGGAACAATACAGAGAAGATTAGCATGGTCCCTGCGCAAGGATGACACGCAAGTTCGTGAAGTGTTCCATATTATTAAAAAAAAACAAAAAAAAACCTTCCAGATTAGGAAGAAAGGCCTGGCAAGCCGCTTCAGAAAATTAGTCAATGAAAACTTTATGGATCACAATAGAGTATTTGTCCAGTAAAGTGCTAGAAGATGAGTTTCGGAGGTAGAAAGGTACTACACAAAAGACACAAGAAAGAACTGAAAAATGTCAGTGATCATGATGATCACACAGGACCAGACAATATTTCTTTCTTCTATAGATAAGGCCACCAGGAGTCACAGCTGATCCCAAAGCACCTAGCAACAACATTATGGGATTTAAAACAAAAAACTGAACATGACTGGCTCCAGCAACTACCTCAAATGCTACCTGTTTTACACCACAAAGCAGAACTCAGAAAATCCTTAAAGAACAGGAAATAGCGGTCTTTCCTAAGAGCTGGCAGCACAGTGGTATTGTTGGGTTGCTAACCAGAAGACAGGTGATTCTAATCTACCAGCTTCTTTAAAACAGAGAAGTTGGGCAATCTGCTTCTATTAAGAATTACAGCCTTGAAAACCCAACAGAGAGTAGAGCCAGGAGTCGGAATTGACTTGATAGTAAGGTGGTTTGGTTTGGTTTTACGTATGGTTTTAAATCATCAGTAGAATAAATAGAATCAACTGTGCATCAGACAGACCTAAGTTTCAGGTACATCTCTACCATTTGTTAGTCACACAGCCCTGGATTCTGCCAAACCCAGCAAATTTCAATAGCCTCATCTGTAAAATGAGGAAGCAATACCTTTTTCTTTTCAAAAAAATAATTATTTTTTATTATTTTTTGTGTGTACTGTCAAATCGGATCTGACAGGTACAGGAGGAGATTGCCCCTCCTTCTCCAGAAGAGCAACTGGTGGATTTGAACCACATACCTCTGGGATTGCAGTAGCAATACCTTTTTCCAAGGTTGTGGAAGGAACAGTTCCTGACACTGGAAAGAGGCTCAATGATAGACAGCAATTCTGTCAGCAATGATATAGTGCTGCTATTTGGTACGTAAGCAACTACTGTTTCCTGTATTCTTTAAGGTTCAAATACCCTCTCTTCTCTTCTGTTCAATGGAGAGACAACCAGTCTCCAGTCGACCTCACCAGGGAATGAAATAACAAAAGAGCTGGCAGAGACATTATGCAAATACTAAATATTATTAAAACATTAATGAACTCTGGCAATTTCCCTGAATTTTGATAAATGGTATTTATTATGCACTGCCAGCCTCTCACACACAAGCTGGGCTCTCAAATATTAACTAGATAATAACAGCAATCATTCTCCTAAAAGACAAAAGGTGCAAAAAGAAAAAGGAGCCTAGGTGATTCCAGCTAAAATCTGCTTACATAGGAATCAGAGTCTCTGAACAAAAAGAGAATGTTGGAGCGGCCAGGGAGACTACAGTGACCACAAGAGGGCTCAGATTGGACCCAGGGCCTACCTAGAACCTTGCTTTGATAGGTCAGTGAAGGAGGTTTCCCAGGGCAGGCAGGCTGATTATGACAGTAGTTTGCTACTACTTTGCTCTTCTAGACAAAATGAAAAACATGTAGGAGGTTGGTGAGTTTCACACTAAGCCCATAACCTTATACAAAAAGACAGTGTCTGCCCCTCTTCATTCTTGCCTAAAAAACTCCTACTGAACCCCGTGGCCATTAAGTCAATTCCAATTCCAAGTGTTACAGAGTAAAGTGATCCACTGTTAGTTGTTGTTGTTGTTGTTGAATACCATTTAGTCAGAATGACCCATAGCTGTCTCTCCAGCAGGTATTCAGAAGCAATAAATTGCATGAGATTTACAGTATTAGAGTAAACGGATCCACTAGTTCATAATATTTTCTTGCCTGTAATTTTCACAGGAGCCATTCACCAGACAGACCTTTCTCTCTGCAGCTGCTAAGTGGGTGTCAACCATCAATCTTTAGGTCAGAAGCCAAGTGCCAACCATCATGTCATCCAGCAACCTCTCCCCACTCCCTAGTTGCCTCCCACCCAACTACAGTATCTGTGTGAGAGGATGTTTTTAAGTTTTTGACAGTCCTCCGGTGCAGCTGAAAATGCAATCAGAGAAAAGCCCACCCCAACCCCAAGGGCCAGAAATGAGAGGCTGGTTGCCACTCCAGCAATGCCTGCACTTAGGAGGATACACTGACGCCACATTCGCATATTCATGAAAAACTCCAGGCTGTGGAGGGTGAAAACAAAGTACACAAAAAAGAGATTCTGATTTTTTTTAAGCCAAAGGAAAATCTGCTTAAGAAAAAGTAAATCCACTGGGAGACCCTTGCTGTCACCAAACCTTCACTTGTCTCGAGTAGCCAGCACCTCATTAAAAGAAAGCAAGGAACTCACAAATGAATGCAGCACCACACACAGGCGGGCTCATTTCACCATCTGCCTTCTAGTGTCCAGAGGGGCATGAGGCTTACATGGCACTCTTTTGGATTTTCTCTCCTGCAGGTAGAAATACCAAATTCCCAAAAGGCAAAAAAAACTTCTCTTGCAAAGTCAACTGAGTAGAAAGGAATACAAGCAATTTTCATTTAGCTGTCAACCAAGACATTAAACAAAACACATGCACAAATGAAGAGTTCCAAAATAATGCAGCCTTCATATCTGGAGAAGAAAGTGGTTATTGTTAATTTAGTGTTTCAACTATGTGTGTCTTGCTTAAGTTTCTAAAGAGGAGTCTAAAGTCCACATACCCTCCCACTGTGACTATTCTGACTTTTTATGACCCAGACAGACACCAGGACAGGATACATAAGAAATGGGTTACAACAGCACAAATGCAGACTTACATTATTTGTGCCCAAGAGAAGGCCATGATTAAGCAATTTAAATAACTGCCCCCCCACCCCGTTTCCTAACAATTACTGCCCCATAAAATATTTGTAAGCCTGGTAAACTTCCCTCTTGAAGCTTCTTTCCAACAGGTTAGGATTTATAAAAAGAAATAAATGAAATCCATTAATCTAAATAATTGAATAGGCAAATCAATCTCATATACTTGGAGAAAGTACAACAAAAAAGGCGACCCAATGCCAAAGTTTTAAAAGATTTCATTCAACTTCCCAAAGCGTTACTACGTACGGCCTCGCGCTCAGTTTGTATTATTACTTGGACCTAAGAGAAGTGAAAACCTCCATGAAGGTATCACCTCCAAGAAGGTATCTCTAAGAAGTGGCAACAAGATATATGGCGTTGAACTGAAGTAGATGGAGGGAGAAAAGTCAATAATCTTCCTCTGTGGCCAAAAGACCCTTCCTGATCCTATTTTCCACTATCTGGAATTTATAGAGCGCACAAGGGAGCCGCCGTTGGGCAGCGCTGCACGCCAAGTCCATTTCTGCGGAATGTTAACCGCCGGGCCACGTACCGCATGACAAGTACCGATCCACTGATGGAGCTCGCAGGTTGCACCAAAGGCTCTCACACTACACCTGAATGTCAATAACCCCTACGACGGAACACTTCCTGCTCAAAGGCCTGTTTATGTCATTTGCATACTATTAAACAATCGGTTTGAGGGCCCGCTGCTGCGGGACAAGCAGGTAAGGGGTGGACGGTGTATTTTTTCCTTCCAGTATCTCCGGGGTTGGATACTCATGGCACTTATCTCTGACTACACACAAAGAAGAGGCGGTAGGCGGCTTGCAGGGTCAGATCTCTGAGTCAGGACGTTTACGAGCAGGGAATTAGGAATTCCGAGCTCTGAAAGAATCAGGGAGAAGCACCGGAAATGCTTCCGATCTCTTGAAAGGGAAGTCTATTTGCAAATCAAAGTTGCAGGAACTCCGGGCGCCCAGCCTACTTTGGCGGGTTACTCTGGAACACCCAACAAGTTTGGCCACCGGGGGCTCAGCATGACAGCGCCGCCAAGCAAGACGAGAAGAAGCAACTTGTCGCTGCAGCGCTGAGCCAGGGCCCCAAGCTGTCTGGGTGACCCAAACCAGCCGAGCACCGGAGACTCAGCGAAGGGAAGGCGCACGTCCGAGCCTCCGGGAGCCAAATCCCCAAAGGCGCCGCCGAGTCTCACCTGCACCACGCTGCTGCCAGCAGCTTACCCCCCAAACCGAGATGTTTCACCACCAACTACTCACCTGCTTACCACCTTCGGGTGGGTGAGAAATTAACAAAAGAGCCAAGGAACAAGGGGGGGGTGAAATGTGAGAAAGACTCCGCGCAAAGTACAGTGAAGAGGGGCAGAAAAGGCTCAGCTTGCGGCAGAGAAAGGGAAGAGGAGGAAGAGAGATGGGTTGTAGCCCCGGCTCCAATAAGGAAACTCCAGAGGAAGGAGAGATCGAGAAAGGGGAATGGGTTTCCTCAACCCTTTCCCATCACACGCACGCTCACACACACATACATACACACACCTCCCCCTTTTTTCCTCCTTACCCAGCATGGAAAAGATGAAATCCTTGGCTGTGTGAATCTCCAGCGCTCTCTGGTCGTCATATTCCCGTTGGTCGTGTTTCGTGAATTCTTGGATGAGTTTGTTCAGTTCCTCCACCCGAGCTCCGGACCTGAAATCCAGCTCCGGGAACGAAGGCTTGTTGTTACAGCCCAGAGAGGCTGCCTTGCTGGCGGTGGGAGCCGCCATCTTCATGCAAAACGCGCTGAGTAGCAGCTCCGCGGCGGCGGCGGCACCCACCCCGCCCCCCACCCCGCCCCCCGGGCCTCCTCCTCTCGCCCGCTCCCTGGCAGCGGCCCCGGCCCGTGGGCGTGCGGGCTGGCGGGCGTCCGGGCGGGCGGTCCTGCGCTCCGTGCGCTGCGAGCGTCCGGGCTCCGGGAGGAGCTGGACTGCAGCGAGGGTGCGTGTGTGTGGCCCCGGCACCCTTTCCTCCGGCCCCACGCCTGCCCCGGTGCTGCGGGTCCCTGCCCTCCCGGGGCCTTGGCTGGCAGCGGCGGCGGCGGTGGTTGAGCCAACCCGAGACTCCCCTCTAGGAACGAGGAAAGTGAAGTGGAAACAATGTGAAATTCACCAGCTCTGAAATCAACAAGCTGCCGGCTCCCGTGTTATAAGAGCCAGCGCCAGCGTCCGCATTTAAAGGGACAGCGCACCCAGTGGAAAGAAAAATAAATAAATGACAGAGGGCTGCGCGTCTCTGCTACTTGCCAATCTGTACTCGGCCAGACACCAGAGGTGTGGACGTACTATTATTTCTCCACCCCCACCGCCCATGGGGCAGAGCTTGTCCAGCACGTTCAAAGAGAAAGGAGTCTCCCTCTGTCTGATTTTAAGGGCGGTGTCCCGGGCGAGAACGTTAACGCCTTTCCATCTCTTGAGTCCAAGAATTCTAATGTCTTTGGGTGAAGGAGAAAAAACCAAAACAAACAACTTAAGGAGTAAAAAGTCTATCTTTGGCCCTCCACCCGCAATTCCCAAATATTAACCAGATTAAGTGTACTTAAAAAAAAAAAAGAGGGTGCTCACGCAGTTGTACAAGGACACTCCCATTAGCCATGGAATTATCCTTACCTTTGCCCCAGGTAATTAATTTCCCTGAATAACAGCCTATTCAACTTGAGAAACATATCAGCAATGAAGTCCAAACCACTCTTACATAAAAACAGGGAAACGGATGAGTAAGTGTACGGAAGGGAAAACAGAATTCATTGCCCCAGGTTCTAATGAATGTTAAATAACACAGGGAAAATGCTCTCTTTCAACAAACACAACCTGAACACCCATTATTTATTTGCCAGGCGTGGTGCATGGATAGTGGTAAGTCATAAGGCCTGGTTCCCGCCGTGGACTTAGAGCAGGTCAATTCCATCTAAGTTAGTCTTTGGATAGAATAGGATTTTAGATATGTTTTGAATATTTATGAAAAATAGTAGACGCAAACATATAGGTGGCCCCTTGGCTCTTAGAAACAAAGATTACCTTTTCCCCTCATTGTCCAAAATTTTACCTAATTTCTGTGCCATATTTCTTAATTTAGATGGAGCCTTTTTCATTTCTTACCTGAATTCTCATGCCCTAGAATACATACTAGTTATTGTCTTTGAAAGAAAAACGAGGCTTTGTTTTTACTTCCTCCTATAAAATGAGAATAGTAGTGATTCCTGTCTCTTAGATTGCTTTAAGGATTACATAAGATAAAAAAGGTTAAACACTGAGTATAAAGCCTGTCATAATAAACTTAACAAATGTCAGTTACCAACTGGTAAACTGTTGATGTTGTAAAGCTAATTCTTTTTACTAATTGATTATTGTCAAAGTGATCTTTACAAAGTACAGATCTGGCCGTAGACACTTTGAATTCTTCTCTTCAATCCTTCTCCAATTTTATGTCAAGGCCAATGCCATACTTGCCTCCTCCTGGAGGGGTCCCCTAACACTCTCTCCTCTAAACTAGTGGCTACTTCTCCCTCCTCAGAAACCTCATTGCACCTTTACAAAACTAACAGTATCTATCCATCAACAAAAAGTTTGCTTTATCCTTGTTTATGCAAATTCAAGAGTAGAAGATTTTTGAGAACAGGGACTACATTTCTTCCTCTGAGCGTCTCCCCTAGTTCTTAGCCTTTTATGAAGGTCTTTTATGTTTCTTAAGTGGAAAGTTTGACCTCACAAGTGAATTCTCCATGTTTTCAGTTCCTATTAGGAAGAAGGATACCTATCCATCCAGACAAATGCCATTAGGCAGATGAGGCAGTTACAATACATTTTGCACTTCTGCTCTACTGGACTGACTTCCTAGCCTGTGAGAGTGTTAGCCTAACCTAGGCTGTGGTATGTTATGTAAATTGTTGGACACTAATACAAATTGATCAACTTCCATCCATCAGTGCTTCTCTCATGGTCAAGGGCAGGCATCTGTGAGAGAGCTGGGAAAAGCACAATCATTCTGTGATCATAATGCTTTATGCTCAAGCATGCAAGCAACAACCTCCAACCTCCTTGGGACAGTTAAAACTGCATCGGGTGAAGTCTGAACACTATTTCCTTTCTCAATTTCCAGAATTGTGAAAGAGACCTTCCTCCTCCTTTGTTTCTGCCTTTATTATATTTACCACTCACTCACTCACTCACTCATTCATTAACACTGAATCAGAATGAACACATAGCAGACCTGCCAATTGGGCTTAGCAAATCTGCCACTGGGTTTCTGAGGTTGTATATTACACAGCGGGAGCTTGTCCATATTCCTCCCAAGGAACCACTGGTGGATTCCAATCTCATCAGAGACATGTATCCTTTGAGTTAGCAGTGTAACTCCCTGCAGACTCTACTACCAGAGTTTCCTTAATCTATTATGAGCATAGTAAGAAAATAGGTGATTACTAGGAATTGCTTTGATTGTACCTTAGCTCTGTACCTTGACTCTTTTGAATGAGGGAGACAATAAATTATTTCTGTTGTTCTTTATCCTTTGTTCAACCAGATCAGAATGCTATGAATCACTGCCTCTCAATGAATCTATGTATTTAAACTATGTACGTTTTATAGGCTTTTACAGAATTCTGACAAGATGATATAAATATCCCTTGTTGAATTGGCAAAATTGAAAAGTGGATTACAAACTAATTTCTTGGATCTGTCTCTTGGGAGAACCATCTATTTTAATCTTAGGCCTGGAGGAAGATCCCCTCAAGGACAAGACCTGGGCTCTTCCCCTCTATAAACACTGCATACAGTACAGTTTGACTTATTTCATGTCCTTAGTGAGACCATCTCAATAAAGGAATGAACTGAACATACTATTCTCCCAGACTCCAAAATGTCAGTATTGTAGGTGGTTTTTGCTACAATTATATGTTTCAAGATTAATTTTGCATGGTTTCCAACCCATTACTTAAAAGTTGTAAATATTTCTACATTTGAGTTTAATGAAATTCCACTTTCAAGTGTTTTCTCTTTCTGTATTCAGCAGCTAACCAAAAGGTCATCATCAGTTCAACCTACTAGAGGTCACTTCCTAAAAAAATTATTAATTACCCAGGAAACTCTACAGGGTGCTTCTATTCTACCTGATAGAGTCTGTGAGTCAGACAACTTTAAAAGAATAGGAGGTAGGAAGGAAAGTGAGAGAGAGATAGACAATCCTTTTTAAGGAGAAAGTAAAGAGTTTCTGAGCCTTTCATTAAAAGGACACATTTCTAAAGTGTGGAGAACTGACTTGAGAAAGGTCAGTGTAGTGGACTATGTAACTAAACTAAGACTTGTCTTCAACTGCTCCTGTTGTTGTTGTTGTTATGTACCATCGAGTCACTTGCGATTCATAGCAACCTTGTGTACAACAGCCCTAAATTATGTTCTATCCTGTGCCAATCGTACTGCCTCTGACACACCCACCCCGATTACCCCAGTCACTGAATCAATCGACCTCATAGAGCGTCTTCCCCTCTTGTGCCGTCCCTCCACCCTCCCGAGCATGATGTTCCTCTCCAAAGACTGGTCCCTCCTTACAACATGTCCAAAGTATGTCAGACGAAGCCCCAGAATTCTTGCCTCCAAGGAGCAGTCTGGTTTAACCCTCTCCAGGATGAATCTGTTTGTTTTCTTGGCAGTCCATGGTACATTCAATACTCTTCTCCAGCACCATAGCTCAAAGGCACCAATTTTCCTTCTGTCCTCCCTAGTCATTGTCCAACTCTCTGATGCATAAGTGATTGCAAAGAGCATAGCCTGTATCAGACACATCTTAGTCTCCAGAGTGACACCATGGCTCTTCAGTACGCTGGAGAGGTCTCTAACAGCAGACTTTCCCATCGCAATATGTTTTTTTATTTCCGGGCTACTGGTGCCAAGAGTGCTAACTGTGGAGCTAAGTAGACTAAAGCTGTTAACAATCTCAATCTCATCACCATCCATCCTGATGCTGCCAATTGGTCCAGTGGTGAGAATCTCTGTCTTCTTGACGTTGAGCCTCAATCCATACTGAAGGCTGCAGTCCTTGACCCTCTGCAGCAAGCATTTTAAGTCCTCCTGTAAAATGGGAAATTTCAGGGAAAAAAAAACCCTGGTTTCCAACTGCTGTACCACAGAATCTATCTCCCAACCCCAACCTATGAATTCAATGTATTTCTGCAAAAAGCTCATAGGCTTCTCAGGAGCTGTTTGCTTTTAAAGCCAGCTCTTAAGTCTCTGTGGCAAATTCTCAGCCATGAATAACTGAGCTGTGCAGAACATGTCTTAAAAATAGCAAGCCTCACATCCACATGATGGATTAACAAATTATCACTTTAAGCAAAAATTCTTTAGTTTGACAGATTTAAATAGTATCTTGGGCTGCTTCTTGGGCATTTGAATTTTCAGGATAAGACTGTTGTTGTTATTTTGTGCCATTGAATTGCCTACAACTCATACCGACCTGTACAAGAGCTCTGAAGCCTTCCCTGTCCTGAGCCAATTTCACTCACTCTGACACACCTACCCCCTTGCCCCAGTTACTGTATCAATCCATCTTGTCTGGGGTCTTCCTCTCTAGCACTGACCCTCCACCCTTCCAAGCATCATGTCCTTCTCTCATGTGCCCAAAATATGTGAGACAGAGCTTCAAAATCATAGCCTCCAAAGAGAAACTTGGTTTCACCCTTTCAAAGAAAGATTTGTTTGTTTTCTTGGCAGTCCATGGTATGTTTAATTAACACTCTTCTCCGGCACCACAACTGAAAGGCATAGACTCTTCTTTCATCCTTCGTCATTCATTGTTCAACTCTCTGATGAATAAATAGCAAGTAATTACAAAGACTACAGATCAGGCATATTTTATTTCTAGACTGACATGGTTGTTTCTCAGCACTCTGGAGAGGTCCTTGACAGCAGATTTTCCCAGTGCAATTCGTCTTTTGGTTTCCTGAATGCCGGTGTCAAGAGTGTTGACTGTGGAGTCAAGCAAGCTGAAATTGTTAACAACCTCAATCTCTTCTCCATCTATCATGGTACTGCCAATTGACCCAGTGGTGAAAATC